AATACTGAGAAAAGAGATTACACAGGATGTTAACAGATGGAAATATGTATCATGATCATGGCTTAGAAAAAACATCAGTATTATCAAAAATGTCTATAGTATCCAAAACAATCTACAGATTTAATGCAATCCCCATTAAAATACCAACATCTTACTTTGAAGGTCTTGAAAAGATAATTCTACATTTTGTATGGAACCAGGGAAAAAAGGCAAATAGCCAACACAATTCTACAAAATAAGAATAATTCAGGAAGCATCACCATACCAGACTTTAGGTTATGTAAGTCTATAATGATTAAAACAGCATGGTACTGGCATAAAAACAGAAACACAACTCTATGGAACAAAACAGAGAATCCAGAGATGAAACTAGTCATCTTATCTTTGATAAAGCAAACAAAAGCACACACTGGGGAAAACAATCCCTATTTACTAAATGGTGCTGGTAGAAATGGTTAGCCACGTGTCAGAGAATGAAGTGGACCTGAACCTCTCACCACTTACAAAAATTAACTCTTGATGGATAAAAGATCTAAATTTAAGACACGAAACTATAAAAACCCTAGAAGATAGTATGAGAAAAACTCTTCATCTCACAGGCTTAGAGAAAGAATTTATGAAGACAACCTCACTGGCAATTGCCACAGCAACTGAAATAAATACAGGGGACCTGATCATGTAAAAAAGCTTTTGCCCAGCTAAGGAGACAATCTACAGAGCAAAAAGACAACCTTCAGAATGAGAGAAGATATTTGCTTACTACGAATCTGGGCTAATTGCCAGAAATCTACAATAAACTCATGCTTATCAATAAGAAAAGAGCAAAAAAAAAACCCATTAAAAACTTGTCTGGGCAAGACACACAATAGAAATCCTTGTCATGAGGAAATAAATATCCTGAGGGAACTAAAAGCAGACCTACCATTCAACTCTACAGTCCCACTACTAGGCATTTACCCAAATGAATGAAATACATTTTACCACAAGGACACTTGCTCTCGAATGTTCATAGCAGCTCAGTTCACATCAGAAAGATGTGGAAACAACCCAGGTGCCCATCAACATCACATGGACGGATTAATGAACTGTGGTACTTGTATACCATGTGATACTAAGCCTTCAAAAAAGATGGAGGTTTTGCATCCTCTGTAACAACCAGCATGGACTTGGAGAACATTCTCCTAAGTATCACAAGATTGGAATAAACAAGCACCACATGCACTCAATACCAATTTGAACCTAGGAGATTAACAATCACAGATCCACTCATGAGAAAATCTCATCTGAGTTGTAGGGGGTGGGATGAGCGGTTCAGTGGCTTCCCACCCAATGTGTACAGCATGGCACACTCCCTGGGTATAGGCCACAGTACAACTCTGACTTTAACCTTTCATGTGTACATTATATAACCTAAGGGATTATACATTCATATTAATTTGAAATTTAAAAACTTAAAGAAATAAAATGGTATCGAAACATACCATATACACTTATTTTTGTTTCTTATAAGATAATTTGGATTTTATTTTATTATTTATTTATTTTAAGACAGAGTCTCAAAATGTTGCCCTGGGTAGAGTGCCATAGCATCATAGCTCACAGCAACCTCCAACTCTTGGGCTCAAGCAATCCTCTTGCCTCAGTTTTTGTTTTTAGTAGAGATGGAATCTCACTTTTGCTCAGGCTGGTCTTGAACTCCTGAGCTCAAGCAATCCACCCAACTCGTCCTCCCAAAGTGCTAGGATTATAGCACTCTATACACTATAAAACTGTAAAAATAGTATTCCAGTTTTAACAGACTTTACATCTTTTGTATTAACCTGGATGGAAGTGGAACACATTATTCTTGGTAAAGCATCACAGGAATGGAGAAACAAGAATCCTGTGTACTCAGTTCTAATATGAGGACAATTAATGACCTAGTATATGGTGGGGGTATAGGGTGTAAGGGAAGAGTAGCGAGAGGGAGGAAGGGGGCTGAGGGTCACAGTGTATGACATACCTTTTGGGGGTGGGACACAATTGTAAGAGAGACTTTACCTAACAAATGCAATCTGTAATCTGGCTCAAAAAACTAAAAAAAAAAAAAGTTACTCACCCTATAAAATACTATCACAGGACCCCTCCCATTTTAAGAAATTTACCAGGGCCCCTGAGAGAACTGTAAGAAACAAAATTTACTTACTAACTGATGTCACTGGGAAAAATAATGAAAAAAATATTTCAGAATGGGTAAATGATAGCTATCCTGTTAGTTTATCACCCCTGGTCCATCCCCACTCTTCAGATAACCAGGTGTGGATTAAAGATTGGAGCCTGAGCCTCCTGAAACCCTGGTGAAAAGGCTTCCATTTGGTGACCCTGTCCATACCCACAGCAGTGAAGGTGAATGGCATCCCGGCCTGGATACATCACTCATGTGTGAAATGAGCCAGACAAGAGGAGTGGACAGTCCAACAACACCCAGAGCATCCCCACCATCTTACCCTGAAAAAAACAGACCCACAGCCCTGCCTTAGTTACATAGCAGGACATGGCAGAAGCCTGAGGATGAACAGGGACAGGGGTGGGACTGATTACTGATTCTTTGGCCTTTCTCACCTTCCTTCTTTAATCTTAGGTGTAAGACATGATAAAGGTTGTGGAAAATGTATCCAAAAGGTAATCCAAACTTGACTGTCAAAATTGTGCTGTTGGTTTCCTCTTATTATGAATATACAGGAAAGCCTGAAGGTACTTGCATATATAATAACACCCAGTATCAGATATGTGTCCCACCCAGTGGGTTAGTTTTTTGCTACAATCCTGAACACTCAGAGCAAACTGAATTTGCTATGTGGTATACTGATAGCCCTAGAAAGGCAGTAACTTGAGTTAAAACAGAAGAAAAACCTAAACAAATTAAAAAAAACCAATAACAATGTTGCAATCTATACAGACATGTCTTTTTACATTTTCAATAATAACTATAAGTTTTCCATGTGGAAATACTATATATTTCTGAAGAATTATTTCTATGTATTTCATATTTGGTGTTGTCATGTTCACTTTAATTCTCTAATTGTTAATGGTATACAATGGATATTTGTATAATTTGGATATTGAACTGAATAATAAAATAATGCTAAACATTTAAAAAAATAAACTGTAAAAATACAGTTATTCTCCAATCTTTACATGTAGAGCTAGAAGTGATTTAAGCAAGGGTCAACTGTGAAAGTTTAAGTTATCTTTTTTGTATAAACCATGGCCCCATGTATTCCAGATTAGGTTTCTTTGGAGTATAAATTTCAAAATGCTCTGAACAGTCTGAGCATAGAATTCTGTTTCTATCTTTAATAGCTGACTTATTCTCACCTGCTTTGAAAGCATTTTCTTACTGATTTTTTTTTTTTCTGTAGAAACAAGGTCTCACTATGTCCCCAAGCTGGTGTCAAATTCCTGGACTCAAGCAATCCTCCACCTCCAGCTCCCAAAAGTGCTAGGATTATAGGTGTGAGCCATCTTGTCCAGCCAATTACATGTGCTTTTAAAAGTGGTGCTTTCTGATTTGATATAAAGAAGAAAAGGGACATTTGTAATGCTGGCATGTATTCACCTCACAAATCTCTGACAAGTTACTCTGCACTGCCATTTTTTATCATGGAAAGCTACTGTAAATAGTTTAAATATTAAAAATACAGAACATAAGCTCGATTCTATATATCCATTTAAGACACATTTATGTTCAAATATCCGTATGAACAAAAATGTTCAAAGCTACATCTTGGGTCACTCCCTAAGATTGCGAAATTATTTTATGGCTGTTACAAAACAAATAATATTCTGTTCTAAAATTAGAACTAAAAGACTACTTACTTTAGAGGGCAATAACCCTGTCTTGTAATATAGTAATAACCATACTTATCTTTCCGTCCTACTTTCGAAAATATCACTAGCTCATAGAAGAGACTTACTAAAGATTTTAGGGAAAAGTAGTGCGGAGGGTGCCAAAAAAATAAGTATACACATTTTAAGAAAGGAAAAAAACGTATTAAAATTGTCATAATATATATGGATAACAAAAGATAAATACAAGTTATGTTGAGCACCTCTTGCAATTGCATAAGTCAAATGTGACTTGAAGATACTTTTAATAGTTCTTCCTTTGTTAAAATGTGCATGGGGCGGGGGCCGTCTGTATACGTGACTGGCTTTAGTTTGACCTAATTTAATTTTAATGTGAAAAGACTGTTTAGGAAGACAGTGAAAACGTTAGCTCTGACGCCAGGGGCTACAATTTTAACCTGCTCCCACGGTTGTACAAGGAGTGACTAAAGCCTCCCAGTCTAAAAAGCCCCAGGACAGCCGTGCCCCCAGTCTGTCGCCCCGCCCGGCGGGAAAAGCCCGTGGTCCTGCAGGAACCCGTGAGCAAGGTGGCGGCTACCCCAGTTCCCCACTTCGGGCCGCCCCAGTTCCAGCAGCGCCTCCCCCACCCCCGACACCAAAGGTTTCCGCCCTGCACGCAGTGACCCCTCAGGCGCCGGCGTCCAGCGCAGTGAGGCCCAGGTGGGGTCCGGGGGCGCCGTTCCCGCCATCAAGGTCGGGTCCCCGGCTCGCGCTGGCCGGCTCTCCAACGCCCCGGCTCTTGCCTTTCGGTCCTAAGCGCTGGTGGCCGCGGATATAAGAGGCGGGGGGGAGACTGTGAATGAGAGAGAAGGAAACCTCATTCCTGCCGAGGCCGGCGCCAACTGCTAGCACAACAGACAGTAGCTCGCCTCCTAGTTACGTGCGTGCCGGGGGGAGACCAGCCCCGCGCTCGCCCCTCACGCCATTCCCGAGGGATTAAAGGGCGGGGGCAGGACGTGCTGAACACCCCGCGCCGCAGGGACTCGAGCGGCGCACGCGCGCTAAGGCGCTCCTGAAGTCTAGAGTCCCGCCCCTCTGTGGGCGTGTCTAGCCGCGCTTCCTCTGACCGATAAGTTGGCGAGTCTGCGCGCCTGCCTCCTCCCCGCCTGGAAGAGTCCCACCTGCTCCAGCAGCCTTTAAATTTTCCCGTGATCTTACCTCCCGTTCTGCAGCCGGAGTCTAACCACTGTGCTTTTCCAGACACTCTTGTCATCTGCTTTCGGCGGGAAATGCTGTTGCTTGATCACAACCTGGAGGTGAAACTCGGGCTTCTTGGGTCCTGGGGCTAACGCGGTCTTGGGAGCGCTGGGAGGGTGAGACCGTGGACTGAGTACTCCGCACTGCCTTGTCAAGCCTCCTCGGAGTTTGTTTTAGACGGAGAGGACGCAGGATCTGTCTCTTCCCGCAGGTGGATGGTCTGCAGCATCTGCTGGAAACGGGGGCCTCGGTCTACGCACCCCTGGATTCCTCCCAGTAGCAGTCGCCTGTTCATTTGGCCGCAAGTGGCGGCCTTGCGTGCTTCCTTCTCTGGCAGCTGCAAACTGGCGCTGACCTCAACCAGCAGGTAACTAGGTAACTGATTGTTGCTGCAAGACACTCCCCTGCACTCCAAATCCACACAAACACTTCTTACACTCCAGTTACAATCATGTCCATGGCAGCGATGACCAATGGAAATGGAATGCTAGAGAGTACGTAATTTTTAATTTTTTAAAATTTTTAATTTTTTAAATTTTCAAGTTTTTCTTAATAACTTGAGACCAATTTTTAATTTTTTAACAGCCCTATCAATAAAGGAAAACATGAAATCTTAGTAATTTAACCCAATTTATCCACTCCAGCAATTATTGATGAGGTATTTTACATTTTATTTTCTGTGTCTTGACAGTCTGATGTGACAGTATATCCCAGGTCAGACAAACGACTTTTCAAATGCGTTTTACCTCTCAGTGACTATTAGCTATCACACTGGACAGCACAGGTCTACAGTTTATGTCAAAAGAAATGATTGTTACATTACCAAAAGTCTCAGTATAGTACCTGAAATAACTTTTGAGGCATGCCCACAGTCGTGGTTTCCTAAAGAACTCTGTTATGGTAGTTTGCATCTTCTGTTGAATATTAAAGTACAGTGAACTTTAACTTGTAAACCTTTGACTTGTGTAGAATTCTACTTTGCTTTCATGCATTTAAATTTTAATATGGATGGGCTGCACATTTTTATTAATGAAAAATGTGAGACTAAGCATGGTGGCTCATGCCTGTAATCCCAGCACTCTGGGAGGCCAAGGCAAGTGGATAGCTTGAGCTCAGGAGTTCAAGACCAGCCTGAGCAAGAGTGAGACCCCATCTCTATTTTATTTTTTGAGACAGAGTCTCACTTTGTTGCCCTCGGTAGAGTGCAATGACATCAGATCTCACAGCAACCTCAAACTCTTTTGGGCTTAAGCGATTCTTTTGCCTCAGCCTCCCAAGTAGCTGGGACTACAGGCGCCCGCCACAATGCCTGGCTTTTTTTTTTTTTTTGCACTTGTCACTGATGTTTAGCTGGTCCAGGCTGGGTTCAGATCTGCCACCCTCAGGGCATGTGGTTGATGCTTAACCACTATGCTATGGGTGTGGCCACATCTCTACTTTACAAAAAAAAAAAAATTGTACTAAAAGCACATAAGGAATTTATCAAAAATAAATAGCTTGAATTAAAAAATTTAAGGCAGTAGAATGCAATTCTGACTGGCTTCCTCAAATAGACTGCCCACCAGTTTCCACAGAAAGTATTTTGGGGAGAGACCCTAAAATGCATTGTGTCTTATTCTTAAGGATATTTTGGGCGAAGCTCCACTACACAAGGCAGCAAAAGTTGGAAGCCTGGAATGCCTTAGCCTGCTTGTAGCCAAAGATGCTCAAATTGAGTCAGTATAAAATCAGCAGCTTCAAATTTTCTATTTTCTTGGATTAATCAGACTCTTGAAGCTGAATTACATGTGCTTTTAAACATAATACTTACCTAATTGATGATTTAGTCTATTCATTTAAATGTTAATGTAGGCTGCTAGTGATAATCTAATAATATTCAATTTCAGCAAGTAAAAAAAGGGATTCTGAGCAATCAGATGTGCCATTCTATGCATTATGGCAGTATTCTACTTCAGTTTTGTTTTAGGTAAACCCATTCTGTGGAAGTTCTCATTGACTAATGTATTGAACAATAATACTTTTGTATTCATTTAAAAATGCAATGCCCACCCTATGCTAGCCAATGAAGATACAACAGTGCAAAAAATGAAGCTTCCTTATGTATCCTTTACCTCTTCTTCTGTTCTGTAACCAACATTTCTATGGGCCCCAAATTTCTTAGCTATAAAGGTATAACAAAGACAAAATAATGGATTTTTAACTCATTTTCAAGTCATAATTTCAGTTTATGTAATAAGAATGGCAAACAGCAGAAGATCCTGCTTGGTAATATGGAGTTCCAGAATGTGCCAAGTTTCTTACAACAAGTAAATGTATACAGATCGGCGCCTGTAGCTCAGCAGCTAGGGCACCAGCCAGATATACCAGGGCTGGCAGGTATGTACCGGCCGGGGCCTGCCAAATAATGACAACTACAGCAATAACAACAACAAAAATAGCTAGGCATTATGGCAGGGGCCTGTAGTCCCAGCTACTTTGGAGGCTAAGGCAAGAGAATCGCTGAAGCCCAAGAGTTTGAGGTTGCT